GATGTATACTCTTCAACAGTCATGTCATTTTGCTTCAAACAATGAAACTTTTCGTATAATTCCATAGTATAATCAGTAGGTAAAAATTACTTTTGTAATTTACTTTTCATGTGCTCCCAAGTGCTGATTTAAGCTTCCCTTGTCGTGCACGTTGCTCTTCAACTCTCTTCCACCATTGAAGGCAGTACCTTCAATTTCAGCTTTACAAAATAACACCTTTCAATTTTCTGCCATGGGTTTCCATTCAAAGTAATTTTCCAAACTAGCTTCCCAATCCAAATATTCCTCTGCATCAAATTTTTTATGAAAATAAATTATTTCGATCTTGATTCCTACACCATTTAAATCAAGAGCATGTAATAACCGGCCCTCCAATCCAACTCTTGCCACTTGATTTGCGAGTCCATCTTCATGAAAAGGGCTCTCGTTATCAAATTCATCATCATCCTCAAGATCTTGAATCTCAAGGGGGTTGTGGTCACCTTCCGGATTCTTTATTCGGGCAGCCCGAGTCAAGTCATCAATTATTCTCCGCATCTCTGCCAACTCAGCTTGTTAAGGCTGATTGGCTCTACCTCGACCTCTGCCTCGGCCAGCTAATCTCCTAGCTAAAATCCTTATAGGATAGTAAGATCGTTTGCTCTGATACCACTTGATGTAGCCAAAGGGTTTAGGGCAATTAGAACTCAACAATTAGGGCTAAAATAGGGTTGATTGTGTTGGAACGATAGAAAGATAATTGGGTTTTTTTAAAAGAAACCTCTTGACTAAAAATTCAAAATAACAAAAGATAATAATAATCTTCTATCTAAGATCACTTATTTATAATAACTAAGATAAATCCTAATCAAATAGTAATCCTAATCCTAAATCAAGACTTAAAGTACTAAAACTCTAAGAAAGATAGGAAAAAGAATCTCAAACTAAATAAAATAAAAAAAATAAAATCCTAAGCTAACGAAAATACTAAATAAAATAGAATTCTTGATACGCCTGCATCAAGTATATAATTGTGTAAAAGTAAACAAATCTGCAACTACACAAAATATTAAATATATAATCACATTAAACATTTATAAACAATATATAAGTCCTAAAATCTCATTTTTTATATGAACTAATATAATTTATATTAAACTTATAGCTAAATAGATTATTAAGAATGTTAATGGAGTATATTATTCAAGCATGGCCTAATCTAATTATAATCATATCATATACGAAAATAACCATAAAATATATTTAGATTCGTACAGTAAATTTAATACATAATACACTTAAAAATATAATCATTTGATTATATTAAAAATACAAAAATTCAAAATTATACATTTTATAGTATTTTTAATATTTAAATATTACTATCTCCGTTTCAAATTGAATGTCCATCTTACTATTATATGATGTTTCAGAATAACATGCATTTTCCCAACAGGACTATTTTCAGTGTTACCCTTCTTAAAAATACTAACTTTGATGAACTTGTCTAGCTTTATGACATTTAAGGGTAAAAGTTGTAAAGTAAAGGGTGAAATTCCCCATTCCTCAAACATAGTGCCATTTGGAAAATTGGCATTCAGTTTGAAATAAAGCGAGTATTAATTTACATTGTTTTTTTATTACATATACTATATGACTTACGGAATTTTTATATCCCTACAATGTAATATAATATTATTTTTTATTTATTAGCATTTTAATTCTTTATTTAATTATTATGCTTCTTAAATGATCAACACATTTTATTTCTTCTTATTTATAGAGAAATTAAAGTTATCAAATATGTAGAAAACAGATATCTTGAATAAAACCATTCTTTTATGTGAAAGCACCATTTGTTTAAAATATACATCTACTAAAACTTATAAATTCAGCAAAGTGTTAAAATAAGTTAAAATACTAAGGACTACTGCGATTTTGATTTTTTTTAGAAGAATGAATTCACACAAATACATGTTGAGGCCAAATCAAATACAAGTTTCATCCCATTTGCAGAGTAATGTCAGATCTACATAATGAGGCAATCCCAAATGCAATACCTGGGAATCACGCATTTTTGACTTGAGTTGTTGAATCTCATGATTCACCTCTGCCTTCCTCTGGAAAGATCTAATTTGATGCACATCTTGAGACTGCCATGCACCAAATAGGGTAAGCATAGGGAATATAATTTAGTATCTAATTTTATAAGCACAAATGCGTTCTATAATTGAAGCAATAAAGAAAGAAATCTGAATTTAAATTAATGTGAACCTTGTGGAGTGGATGAGCAAACAACTTCTTCTCGAGTTCCTCAATTTGTTTCACCAACTCAACAATTTCTGGATCTTCAATTTTCATGTCCTGTAAATCAATTTATATAAGCAATTCACTATTTATTCCTATCCAAAGTTCTCTCACACAACTGAATTTAGAATTTCAAAAGCATGTTGTTGAAATATATGCCTACCACTCCTGAGTATGTACGATGCTCATGGAAAAACAGAAAAAAGAGTATACTGTTAGGCAATTGCAAGCAATGAAGAAATGAAAACAAAATGGAGATAAAATACTGTGAAGATGCTTGCTAAGTGACGGCTATTCAAGATGATACAGCCATGGAAGGAGATGCTTTGTTATTTTCATATTTATAACTTTCATACTAGAAATTTCAGACTCTAATTCATAAATTTGGGCTATAGTCATGTACACTACAGAGTTTATTTTTTCTGATACATGAGCCCAAGGGGAAGTCAGGAAATTTTCAATATATAGCTGATAGGAGCCCCTAGTCATGGTCCATTGGGTCTTATTCTGAGTTTAGCTAAATTATTAGGGCGTTTCTTGTGGTCTTTAGTTAGTTGAGTCTTTCCTAATTCTAACAATTTCAAGAGTCTTACTTCCAGGAAGACAACTTAAGACTTACATACTCATATCTGCATCTATTGCTAGACTTGGTAGAGATGATCTGTAATTGAGATTTCAATTGGTAAGAGTTCTTGGAGAATTTGTTATTTAATGATTGGAAATTTCCTCTTCTTTGCCTTTCTACCCTACAATGCTTCAGTTCAGAGTATATAGCACAAAAACAGCACTCATAAACTTGTTTCCTTCTTATCTAAATGCTACCAAAGAATTCCAGCAACCATTCTTTTAAATTCAACCCTCGTTTGAGATCAAAACTCAAATAAATCTAAGCCTTTTAACTCATACACCCTTATCCTAATTTCAACCATAAACCTTTACTCCCCATTCTCTAGCATTAGCTCATCATAAACCTTAAGTAGGCAGACTTTTCTAATCTATCCTACATAAATTGGCATCAGACCGAAAGATCCGTCTTTGTTCCTATTTAACTTTCCCTTTCTCTATTTTATTCTGCATCCATGGTAAGCAATACTGAACTTTCATCAAAGTTTCAAACTTTGCACAAAAGTTTTGAGGCTTTTTATTAAGGTCATGAAGCTATCAACAAGGATATCGCATAATCAAAAGCTGAAAGTTTATAAATAAAGTGTTGATATGGGAAGAATTAAAGAAAATCTTAGGATGAGATAAAGGGCCTTTTTTGAAGCTGTCCAATGATGTCTCAAGCAAAGAAATTTTGGAGGCAGTTAAAATCAAGAGATAAGGCCTCTTTGGGCCCAAGATCAGACACTACCAAAGCTTTAAACTGATTACTCATTCTAGTTCTGAACAATGCAGCACCATTCAGCCACCCAGAGCAAGCCAAGGTCTATGCTGATGTTGAAAAGGTCAAAGTTGTGCAAGCAATCTGGCCTTCAAGAAAAGCACAAGGTGAGGATAAAAAACTTAAAGTTATTGATTGTCCAGGCTAACAGAGAAAAGTCAGGCATGCCAGAAGCTGTTTCCAGGGAACCCAAGGATGAATTTGTGTTCAAAAATTCCCCAGTTTGTAAATGCTCTAGGCATTATTCATGGCAATTTAATGTGATGGAAGGAAGGCAAATTTGCTACTTATCAATCTTAGGTTCCAGAGAAAAGTTTCAAGTTTAATGAACTTAGGTCAATTTGCACGCTTGATGGTTCTTCTACTTCAAGACTTCAAAAGTCAAGGTCAAGTTACCACAACCAGAGGAAAATGATGCACGCATGACAGAAGATAGTTTAATCTTTTCATATTTATAATTTCAGTACTAGCAATTTAGGAATTATTTAATAAGTTTGGGCTATCTCCGTACACAAGGGAATAATTGTCAATTTTCAGTTCCTGTACCCTAGGGATATTCTAATATTTTTCTCTTTCCCAGAAATGAGCCTTAGGCATGGTGCATAAGGTCTCCTTTTGAGTTTAGAAAATTATTAAGGCTTTCTTCAGGTATTTAATTTATATTAGTCAAGTCTTTTTCCCAATTCTAATAGTTTTAGGAATCTTAGGCCAAGGAAGACAAGTTAGAGCTTGCCTACATATTTGTATTGCTAGTCTTGTTAGAGTTGATTTTAGATAAAGATTTGAGTTATCAAGAGGGTATGTCATTGAGTGGTTTGAAATTTCTTCTCTTCTTTTTTCCTTCCCCACAGAAACAGTGCTCCAGGTTACACTGGTTGCAGCACAAAAGTGGCATCAATAAGCTTGTTTCATTCTAATTCTACTGCTGCCAGAAAATTCCAGCCATCTTTCCTTGACATTTTTGAGATCAAATCTCAACTAAATTAAACCATAATGAATTTCTAAACTCTAACACTAATTCCTAATTCCTACCATAAACCCATAGCACTTCATCACTGATTTTCGAGCTTTGGCCCACCATGAATCCTAAGTCAACAGGCTTCTCATAATCTGTCCTACATCCACAGAGTGTTCTGCACAGACTATGGGACAAACAGAAAAGAACGAAATGAGGGAGAAGGAAGCTAGGAGTCAAACTGTTACAGATAGACAAGATTGGCTTACTTCTTGAGTCTGGGGGGTATTGGAAGTTTCAATTGGTACGTGTTTCTCATTGAGACAAGGTGTTAGATGGTTTATTGAAGTTGTTTCAGAGCTATTTATTTTGAAATTTGTTAGGGAGTGTTTATATCTTTAGCTTTCCAGCAGAATTTTTTGTATGTGGACAATCTTCTTGTTGCAGCCCCAATATCTTTCACATAAGTCAAATGTTGACTATGAAAAACACGGAACAAAAAAACAAAATATTGCAAGAAATTAGAACTATCAATAGCAAATGTACCAAATGGAAAAAGTTTTCAGAATTATCTCACTTTTGGTTTTACTAGGCAAAATAACTCACAATATCTTAATATCATGAATAGTTACCGTGACGGGATTAAGTTTTGGAAGGCCTTGCGGAAATCGAGTTCCTAGCTCCTGCACTGCCAGCAATATACTCTGCCTGGCTTCAGGTGGCCGAAGATCAGGAGGTATGGATATTCTGATTTTGCTCAGAGCAGAAACAAGGGGCAACTGAACAGGAACCTAAAGTAGATGAAAATTGGAGATCAGAAACTTCAGAAAACCAAGACTGAAGTTTAGCTTTTGTAATTTGGCTGTTTCAACTCACCACATGCATTTCACCCTTCTCTGCAGGACAGGGTGGGCATGGTTTTGGCCGTGCACCATTCTCACTAGAACCAGGTAAACAATGAAGTAGTGTATCCACGATATAACCACCACCACGAGCAGGCAATGCACCTAAACCTGCAGAGGGTCTTTTAACAACATTAACTACAACTCCCCAGCCCCAATCTGTACTGCCTTCTCTTACTTTGATCTGCAGTAAGCACTTTCAAGTAAGATGTTGAATCCTAGTGCCAAAAAATATCCAAAGCAACATTACAAACCTAACAGTATATATCCAAGTTAGGTGCAATTAGGTGACACAACAATTGATGTCTATCCAATATATACACTTAATAGCAGGATAAACTATGATAATTACAATATTTGAGCATGAATCCGAGACATCATTGAGAGAGGAGGAAAAACAGGTGCCAAGGCAAGATGTGTGTGTGTGTGTGTGTGTGTGTGTGTAATGAAAACCCTTTTTTCTCCAAGAAACAGACCACTGAGCATTTGGAAAAACCTAAAATAAGTTATGGGCAAACAGAAAATATTTCTTCAATAGAAGTATATATGAATTAATACATTTAGTTAAAATAAACATCCAGAAAGCACATGGTCATTTATCTATATAATGAAACAAAAACTTCTAACAAAAGCACACTGCCATACATTTAACAAAAAAACATAAGAGTACTTCTAGTTTATAAACAATATATATATATGGATTAATATTTGATGTACAAACAGTGTAAAGCTTCTATACACAATCAGGTACCAAATCCCGACACCTCATTAGTGAGGTGTCAAGATTTGGTGGCCTGATAGTGTATAGAAGCTATACACGGTTATGTATATATGTGTGTATACTATGAAAATATTCCCTTTTATCAAACTATCAAAAGGAAACATTCCATGCAAAAGCAACCCAATTCCAGGACAACATTCAAATAGAATTCATTTTGATGTGATACGGACCACATTTAGCCAGGTTAGAAAGCAAATAACAACTTCGTACATTTGCTGTTTCAGATAAATGAAATGTTTGAAATGAATCCTTAGACTGGAATTAAGGGAAAGGTGGGTGGAGGATCTGACCTTATTAATTCACTTCCTTCCCTAAATACGATTTTTTGCATGGTTCAAAGAACTGTAATTTTATGCCTCTAGTAAGTAATGACATATTGCTGGTCCTAAATGGGACAAACAACCATATGGCGGTTATGGATTTTTAACTTAAAATTAAGCAACACGTGTATGGAGTTGCATGATGACCTTGAATGCACAGGAACTGCACTTCAAATGAAACACCAAAAGTGACTAACTAGGCAGTTTGAATTTCAAAATTTTGATTGATAAGTTCTATGAATGGGGAATTACTTTATGGATAGTTATGGCACAAAAGTATATTTTTACAAACTTTTGGCATTCTCACTAGTAATTAATGAGAAATAAGAATATATATATATATAGAGAGAGAGAGAGCTGTACAGCATATTCAATAACAGATGAGCAAATAGTGCTTTCAACATAATCAACATCAACTACAATGAGCACGTACCAGCCGTCCAGGATCAAGATAATAAAGAATTCTTTCAGGCCTAGTAATTTCAGACATCAACTTCTTCTCTAACTGGGCTATTTCCAGTTTTAGTTTATGATATTCAGCTACTTCAGCCTGCACATATAAATAAATGTTTGTATTGACACAAAATTTTTTGAAAACACATCTAAAGAAGGAATGTGATTACCTCTCCTGAAGCATCAAGCAAGGCAGCTTCCTGTTCCAGCTTTGAAACCTTCTTTCCTATATCAGGTAAGGCCTGAAACACACAAAAGTCCATAAGTTATTGCACGCACAGTATGCTTATATAAAAGAGAATAGCGATTCAGCAAAGACCTTCTCATATTGAAACTGGTGGAATGAGTTCCTTATCACATGCTCAGCAGTGATCTGGCCTTCCGCACGGCTCATTAAATTCAAAATTGAATAGTAACTCAGTCTGAAAGTACTGACTAAAGGTGACGGTTTACCCAATACCATGTCCTTGAGTGTATTCATCTCCATCTGTAAAAAGGGATGATGGAAACTTTTTTGCTGCTTTAAAAACATACAGCAAGAGAATACAGTATACTGCTAGCCCAGATTTTACTCCAATAAGAAAGTACTTTTACAAATATCAATTTACAGTGAAAAAGGCAGTAAACAACAAGAAATCCCAGAGGGTCAAAATTAAAAGGTCATATTTTCAAAGACTTTTCAAGATTGGTAAAACAGTGTTGAATAGTTGCAGACTTCAAATGCAGATAAAAAGAATTGATCAATCACCTGCTCATCAATCATAATGATACAAATACCATGTTCATCCTTGCCACGACGCCCGGCCCTTCCGCTCATCTACAGGGTTTAGACCATAGAAAATGATCATCAACTTAAAAGATAGTTAAAATTGATTAAAAGGAAAACGAACAAAATATTCACTCACCTGGATATACTCACCAGATCCGATATAACGATGGCTATCACCATCCCACTTCTTAACAGAAGTGAATACAACAGTTTTTGCAGGCATGTTTAAACCCATCGCAAACTGCAAAAAACAAATTTTACAGTGGAAGAGTGTCATCATTAATACTCGAGGTATAAACATACTGAACAATAACATAAAGCACATATCATAAAAGAGCGTTGGTTGGGAGCCTTGAGATGATCTTACTGTTTCTGTGGCAAAAAGTGCCTTTATAAGGCCTTCCTGGAAAAGAAGCTCCACCAATTCCTTGATAACAGGGAGCAAACCAGAATGATGTACAGCAATGCCTCTCATAAGCAAGGGTAACATTAATTCAATAGCAGGCAAACATCTATCTTCTTCATTCAAGCAGAGTACCGCATTGCGAAAAACCTGTTCTACATCATCCTTCTCCTCCTGTGTATTGAAGTCAAGCTTGGACATAGACATTGCATGATATTCACACTCTCTTCGACTGAAGCTAAAAACAATGACTGGATGAAATTTCCGTTCCATAATCATCTGAAATTCAGAAAGTGAATGACTGAAACAGATATGATTACAATAGCAGAAACAGAGCTGGGATGGAAGACAAAAAGTACGTTTACCATGTCTAATTATTTGATATTACCATTGCTCACACAGACATGACATGTCTATGACTCCCATTACTAATTAATTGAAATTGCTTTTTACTATGAATAAATGAACGAGTTTCCCAGGCGAAACCAAGGAATCTATGGTGTGCAAGTTAAATGTCAAAAGGTCGGATGTTGGCTACAAATAAGATTAATTGCATATTAGTGGCAGGATACTTAAACCCAAGATTTATGGATGACATAAAGAGATTTGGCCTGCTGAGTCATTATTATCCCAATAATGTGATCATTCTTACTTTTCAGATATAACATGGCATTCTCCTATTGGAAGATGGCCTACCAACCCGCCCCCAGCATAAATATTCTAAATAATTAATAACATAGGTGAAAAAGTGATATCTTTATTTCAAAGTTTCCAACTTATACACAGTTCTTGAAAACCAAATATCCACTTTTCATTTTTACTCCCATTCTCTGTCCACTTTGTGAGATAAAAACCTAGAGATTGTTAAAACCATTTTCCCTCAGCTAAAACTTACATTGTCCCATTTTCATTTTTCTTTTCATAAATGAGTTACTGCAACCATTGAATGGTTTACATTTTACACCCGTAATGTGAGCATATAGGAGGGTAGAATCAAGAAAGACAAGGTCCTCATCCAAAAGCAAATTAATGAGAAAAAGACAAATATTACAAATGGATGCATCCTCTATCCTGATTCAATTCCTGTTCAAAAACTTTATTTGTATGAAGATACATAAAGAAACAAGATATAGCTGCTTATAATATGCAGTGTAACTGCCAATAGAAATCTTGGAATAAAATTGTTTTACTAAACCATAAGCTGGCTTACAACAGAACTAACAATAGTAATCCTCCCATGAAAAGATTTTGAATGTTCTAGATGGACAGATCCTATGGAAACTAATGTTTTAACATAAGAAAGCAACATTCCAGTACTTGGAATTCTATTTTGCTTAGGAAGGAAGAGAAATGGCTCACTTGTCAAATTTAAGTCCTTAAGAAAATTGAAAGTTACATGCCGGAAGAGAAAATTCATAAACATGCAGCAGAACCGCCGGTTATGCCTGTGGAAAGGTCCCCTTTCTCTGTTTTTCAACTACATTTCACAATTCCTGAATTGATTGTGTTCCTAATAGAAACTATTGATGTCTCAGATTTAAGAGATAAAAGTTTTCAGATGTTCAAAGCTACTAATAAAGTGTATCAAACGATCAGAAAATCTTGGGAAGCACAATAAAGCAGAGGAGAAACAAAAGAGATCGGCATACTTTGAACAACAACAAAAAGCAGCTAATAGCATAGATCAAAAGCAGTATTTAAATGTAGAAGCGACACCTTCACAATTTTGTATATGTCAGAGCCCCCTGAAGCACTCCCACCTTTGGAACTTCTCCCACTACTTTTTCCATTTGCACTCTTGTTCAAATCACCCGGTCTCTGCTTTATGAATGAATCCTGGACCTTCATGAAATTGTCCTCCCTGAATTGCTCATTCTCATCAACCACAAGATATAATCCACTCCCACCCATGGGGAAAACATAATGCTGCAAAGGTGTTGGCCTGAAATCTGTGTACACCACATGACAAGGCTGTTTGTGTAGATGACAAATCCACTCCACAAACTCAGTGGCATTGGACATTGTCGCTGAAAGGAAAACCATTTTTATAGCTGGTGGCAAAAATATTATACTCTCTTCCCAAACAACCCCTCTTTCCCTATCCTTCATATAATGAATTTCATCAAAGATTACCCACGCAACCTCCTTCAAAACCTCTGATCCCCTATAAAGCATCCCTCTAAGAATCTCTGTTGTCATGACCAGACAACTAGCATTAGGAGACAAGGTAACATCACCAGTCATCAGCCCCACATCTTGGAACTCATGATGCAGCTCCCTATACTTCTGGTTGCTCAAAGCTTTCAATGGTGAAGTATATATGACCCTCTGCTTATCCCTAAAGGCCATTGCAATAGCATACTCAGCAACCGCAGTCTTACCGGCAGACGTATGTGCTGAGACCAAAACCGACTCATTTCTTTCCAAGCAGGCCACGGATACTTGCTGAAACGGGTCAAGCTCAAACATATAAGTTTTGGCCATTTCCCCATTGTACACTGGATTTGAGAGAGTCCCATGAATCGATTCATCTTTAATTGAAGTGTACCCACTTGGAACTGCAACCTCATGCACGCATGTTCGTGCTAGACTTCTCCGTTTGGAGGCTGATTCTTGCTTAGGGGTCTCGGTAACATGTGGTTTTTCAGGTGATTTCCGCTTCCCTAGTGCAGCCGGTTCTTCTTCCATTGTAAGGGTTTACTCTGACTACTATTAGATACCAACTTCACTAAAGTTCCGCAGCACCTTCCAAAAATGTTATGCCACTTCCCCTCGGCTAAACCAATCGAGATTTTTATCCAAAAAAAAAAACCGAGCAGATTATCACACCATTAGATGCAAATACACCTCAAAAACACAGGGAAAAAGAAGTAACAATAATGGTAGCTATAGCAAAGCACATACTTATTAGCTGAAATGAAAAATAGCTAAAAATAAACAGAAAATGAAACAATCCGATAGCTCACATTTTGCCCCCGAAATGAATTAAGTAAACGAAGCTACAGCTTTCGGAAAATAAAAAAACAAGAAGAGAAAAGTAATGCACAATAGAAAAAATTAGGGTTGCTTGGAAGAGTAGGAAGTTGTGTCTGTAACGTGCGAGCGAACCTCTTGAAACTGAAAATGGTAGCAGCAACTTAAGGTTTAACAGAGCAGAGGCAGGCAGCGAAAGAGGGATTTGATATCTTACTTCGTAGAATTAGAGGATGAGCCCTTCTCCTTGTTAACATTTAGGACTATACCCCACTTTTGATGGACGAAGGTCCAGCCCAAGTTTCAACGCTTTTAGAGCTTATTTGGTTACCTAGCTCTAGAAAAAGAAAAAAAAATGATGTTGTAATAATTGAATACTTTTAGCTAAGGTTGTCAATTAATTTGTAATTGTAATTTTTTATTCAAACTCCATTAAAGATTAGGTATAATATCTAAAAGAAGTTCTTAAATTATTCAAAAAAATTTATATAAGTTTTTATATTTTTATTACATTCAATTAAATTTTCATATTTTTATTTTAAATTAAATAAGTGATTAAGATTAATAATTAATTTAATCAAAATCATTTGTTATTTTATACCTTGTTGCGCTTATGTGACATGTAAAATATCATAATTGATGATGACATAATATACTAATTTGGCATGATCACATGATTATATGACATTTTTCACCCTTCACATTAACGTCATGTTAGTGTCATAAGGATATGAAATGATAAATGGCATTTCAACTAATGGCACTTAGTCAATTACTAGTCATAAAGGCTTATTTGACTCAAAATAAAAATATAAATACATGTTTAAATGCAATAAAAGAATAATAACTTATTTAATTTTTTTTGAATAATTTAAGGACTTATTTGAGCATTTTGCTTATATTTTAACCCAAAATACTGCATTTTCTTAAATTTTTCTTGAAGTTAAAAGCTCTTGTTTCAAATTCTTAATTCCTATTTAGACCAATTTCTACTACATAGATGCATAACTTTGACATCATGTAATTTTATTATTACTTTACAATGCAAAATAATTTTTTACATTTGATTTAACGTTTGTTCACCTACAATAATTGCATAATCGGTAAGGGCTTAACTCTAACTCTAAGTTACAGATGGGGTTTTAAAGTTAAACCTAATAACTTGAAATGTTTAAGAGAATTTTGACTTAATGGGCTTAAACTGGACTTATTAAAGAACCCTTATTTCTTAATCTTTCTTACAAGTACTTAATAGTGACACCATTAACACACTTATAACATATATATAAAAAGAAGGCCCAAAAGTGCTTTCAGGTTTGGTCACATTGTTGCCCCTTTGTGTGACACGTGGCAAGTTGTGGAAAAGAGGGAAAGAGAAAAAGGGAGAGCAAGGAACGTGAAACAAAGATGGATCTTATGGTGATGGAGAACTTAGTTTTCAAAAAATTTTTTAAAAAAAGTATCTCAAGGGTATATGATCTTAAAGGCTTTACAAGGTCATGATACAATATAGATACAACAGGGACAAACAAAGTACTGCTAAATATGAATCTGTTAAAAACGCTATGAACAGAGTCCATTTTTCTATGAAGCAAAGCAAAGAGAAGCCTTGAGATTGTTTTAGAAATTCTTTTCTTCTTTTTCTTTTTGTGTAGACACTCATTCTAGAAATTTCTTCTTTCACCTTCTTTTGTCCTTTTGCTTTTTTTTTTCCTTTTACATTCAATTCTCTATTTTGCCCTCTTGTTTTCTTTCTCTCTTTTGTCCATCTCTCACTTCTCTTTGCACTCTTTGCTATTAGGAGCAACAAAGGTGGGGCGACAACGGACATGGAGGTAAAGAGTCAAGGGTTTCGATCTCTTTACATAATCTTCGTCTTTGCTTTTCTGTCTTCATTTTTGTCTTCAACACTAGCAACATTGTGAAAGACCAACAAAACCTAATTATCTCTCATGAATCTCACTCCCAATCCTAATGTGATAACTCTATTATATAGAGTTATTTTGACTCATTTTGGGAGCTTAAGTAGCTAGATCTTTGAGATTTTATTGTTCGAATTTTAGCATTATAGGTGTTTTTTTAGTTTAGTTTGATTATTTGTTAAGTGATTAATTTAAGTTATTTTAGTTAAATTTTAGGTTATTTTATTAAATTACTTTAAGAGTAGTTATTGCTAATTTCTCCTATGGCTTTTGTAGGAAATTGATGAAAAAGACTCATTTGATGAAAATCAGTGCAAGTATGGTGATAGCTTCATTCGTATATGTTTCAATATTTTGACCATATCTCTTTCTAAAAACTCCAAATGAGGTGATTCTTTGACCAATCAAATTATAAGAAGAAGGGAAACAATTTTTATGTTCACAATTGGCCAGTATGATTGGATCATGGTCAAAATATTTGTCAATTCAGACCACTGCAGCAGGATTAAAGACTGAATATGATGCAGTATTTGGAGCAAATCTTTCAATCCAGAAGTCCAATTGATGCGATTTTAATCCACTGGAAAGTTAAGAGATAGGGAATAAACTTTTATGTTTACTACTTTACCCAGTTCTTAACATATCAGGGTGAAACTCATGTTTGAAGTTGATAGACTGCCACAGCGCTGGGGAACAAGGCTGCAGCGTTGATGAAAGGAAGCACACATACAAAATTCCAGAGAGCTCAGCGCTGCAGCGCTGGAGAAGTAGCACCGCAGCGCTGCGCGACTTCCCTAAAAAAATAAAGGACATTAACGAAATTTTGCAAAATTAGGTTATTTGGAGCCTTTTAAGGAGACTTTTTCAGAGATTTTAGAGCAGCAAGAGAGGCAGCAAAGGAGGCAGCAAGAAACTATTCTGGAGATTTGGAGCCAAGAACAAAGCAAGGAAACAAGAGAATTGGAGAGAGAATCAAGATCATACATCTCTAACTATTAGTTTTCTCTCTTACCTTTGTGTTTTTTTCTTATTTTCTTTGACTTGGATTCATGGCTAAATTTCTTTAGATATTGTCTTTATTAGATATTATGAACTAATTTATTTTTCTAGGATTGCAATTGAACTCACATGTAATCTAGATTTTTAATCACTTTCTTGCTTATTTTCAATGGGATTTGAATTGTTTATTCCAATTTGTTCTTAATGCTTTAAATTGCATGGCCACCAATAAATTGATCTAGAAACCTAAACAAACTTGGGAAAGGGAGTTTAGTGTAGACTAAAATTGGGATAGCATATGACATATAAGTGATTTGCGTATAGGATAGGGATATACCTATAGGCTTATGTAGCCAAATTAGAGCCTGAACTTAATGAGTTTGTTTTAATTTCAATTCACATAGGGATATAGTGTTTTGGTTAAAATAGATATTTTTATAAGATGAGTTGGGAGACCCTTATAAATAATTTAGGACTCTAGGTTAGCAATTCAAACCATTGAGATAAGTTAAGGAAGAGAGGTAAGATTTAGATGAAGTGTGAGGGATATTGTAATCCTAGGCTTGTTTGATTTGATATTTATTTGAGTATTTATTATTTGATTTTTCTTAATTTAATTCTGCTATAACTTAGTTTGATTTGATATTTTTTGATATTGTTTGGATAAGATTAATTTGCAATAATTTTAGTACTTAGTAAACTTTTAGATCAATTCCCTGTGGGATCGATACTCTACTTGCTAATATACTGTCTATTCGATACGTATACTTGCGTAGTAGAATTTTAACTGACAAGTTTTTGGCGCCGTTGCCGGGGAATTATTTCTAGAATTTTTACTGATACTAATACCAAGCAAATTAGTCTTAATTCAAATTTTTTATTTTATTTTTAGGTACTTTTGGTTGAGGTGATGAATTATAGTGACTATCGGTGCACATCTGAACAATTTGTGCCTAGAGAGTTGCTAGTGATTATGAATTGGCTATCAGTGCTTTGGCCATCGAAGTTGATGCTTTCTCTCAAAAAATTGTACTTGGGTATTAATGTTTTTCAAAGTCCTTTTGTGGCATGCGAGCTTTGTGGAGATAGGCATTCAAGTGATTGTTGTCCAACCTATTCTGAATCAATGCAATTTGATGGAAGCTTCAATGGGCAGCAAAACAATTCTTACTCCAATAGTTACAACTCATGGTGGAATCACCCAAATTTTTCATGGAGTAATGATCAAGATCCTACATATTCATCACAACCTATTTTTCAGCATGATTTCCAGTCACAAGTTAGAGCCCTATACTTGAGAAAAAGCTATTTGGAGGATATGCTGATACAGTTCATGACAAAGAATGATGCCATCATTCAAGTCGAGCAGAATCAATCCAAAATCTGAGACTCAATTAGGCCAACTTGTTAATTACATCAACAATAGGCCTCAAGAAATTTTACCAAATGACACTGAGCCTAATCCTAGAAAAGAAGAATATGGTAAGCATCTTGATGAGATAAATGGCAAGAATGCGGTAGATGATGAAGATAAAGTAGATCAAGGTAACACTTCCACCAATCAAGTTCGAGATGAAAAAATTAAGCAAGAGGAGGAAGTATTTACACCACCACAAGTCAAGCCATATGTGCTTCCTATTCCTTTCCTAGATACAGCTGCTAAGTTACCTAAAGCGGCTTTGATATGGAAATCCAAGAAACTCTTGAGGCTTGTTTGGTTCAAGTGGCAACAACGAAGGATCAGAATGAAGAACTTACAAATGTTACACATGGTGAAAAAGCTATTGTGAAAGCTTGATGGAAGCTTTAGAATTTCACTAATTTTAGTGAATTGGTTTAAAAATCCTTGGTTGAGAGATTAATGTAGTGGATGTAGATTAAGGAGGCTAAATTACTATAAATAATTGTGTTTTGTCTAGTTTCTTTTATTTTCTTCTTCTTTTTAGCACTTAAAATATTCCTCCAGCAAGCTTTAAACTTCTATTTTCAAATTCCTCTAATAAGTTCTTTACTTGGAAAGAATTTTTGTGTCATTCCAAAAGTGCTATTCACCCCCCTTTAGCAAGCTCTTTAAGACCAACGGATGGTATTAAAGCCCAACCCTCATTTTTAAGGCTTTACATCTTTAGTGGAGATCCAAATGGCTCTATAAAAATCTTTTCTTATTGGGGATTAATCCACAAATAAACCACTTCTATTTGATGGATCAAACTATTCTTATTAGAGTATTAGAATTTCTATTTATATTAGAGCTTATAAGTATGAGATATGAGATGTCATTATAGATA